ACCCTAATTTTCAATCATCGCTTTTTGTCTTGGCATGCTCTCCACCAATCTTTCACACTGTTGTTGGGTGACTTTATGCCACTCCTGGCGCAAAAATTCAAGCAGGTCAGCTTTGTTTGATGGCTTGTGACCATGCATCTTCCTCTTGATCATGTTCCAGAGGTTTTCAATGGGGTTCATGTCTGGAGATTGGACTGCCCATGACAGGGTCTTGATCTCTTGGTGCTCCACCCACACCTTGATTGACCTGGCTGTGTGGCATGGAGCATAGTCCTGCTGGAAAAAAACAATCCTCAGTGTTGGGAAACACTGTCAGAGCAGAAGGAAGCAAGTTCCCTTTCGAACGGTCTTGGCTTCTTATCGATGAAGGGCTTTTTTCTAACTTTGCATGACTTCAGCCCTGCCCCTAGGAGCCTGTCTTGAACCGCCCTCGCTGTGCACTTCACCCCAGCTGCCATTCTTTTTGTTGGTCACTTGATGCCATCCTATGGTCGTTGAGTGACATTCGAATGAGTTGGCAGTCCCGGTCAGTGGAGAGTCGTTTTCGCCCTCTACTGGTCTGTAGCTTTGTTGTCCCCAACATTTGCAGCTTGACCCTGTTATATAAACTGCTGTCTTTGAAATTTTAAGGATGGAAGCAACCTGATGCTCACTGTATCCCTCTGCCAGAATTGAACCATTCTATTCCTATAATAATTCTATTCCACTTAGAACTTTTCTTTTCAACTCTTTTGCCATGGTCAGTAGTTATTATTTGATTCCAATTACTTTTACTAGCACTGTTTTTGCCATCCAGCTAGTCCTTTATGGAAGAGGATAGTGATGACCACAACAGTAGTTTTTATACTTTACCTTGTTAAATAAGATTTGGTTGAGGTGATCACCTAAACAGTACTTCATTAAGCAGAATGTGGTTTGTCTGTGTTGGAATTCAGACACTGGAATGGAATGGCGGCCATACATGTAGAGATGCTGAGTTTGAGCTGTATCTCAGAACTCTGTTAACCATATCAAGTGTTCAGATGAACATTGCTGTTTTCATATAGTCTCTTTAACTTTTTTTTCTTCTTCAAATAAGTCTATTGTGGTTATCAGAATAAATGCAATAGTGATAGTGCTCACAGAGCTGGGTAGTCACTGATTACATGTAATCTGGATTACGTAATCAGATTCCAAAAATGAAGTACTTGTAATAGATTAAATTACATTTTAAAATACTCAGAATCAGACTGCAGTTACTTTTTATTGATTAGATTACATATTATTCTGAGCAGGAATTCATCAAGGACATGACTGTTGGAATTATAGTTGTGGGTGACCAATCAATCTGCAGTGATGTGGTCCTGGTAATAGAAGAAGGAATCTTGGTGATCTGGGGTTGTGTACTGCGTTAGACTATCCGGGACTTGTCACAGCACTTAAAGGCAAAATTGTTTGATTTTCATTTTTGCTTTGTGTTTTAATGTTTTCATTCAAGCAGTTATTTTCACATTCATTTACACTAATACTTTTCAGACAGTGCAATGTTAATAATGTTTTAATAAACATGAATGTTTAAATTATGTTTTTTTTGTGCTCTCTGTTAATGCCAAGATAATCAGTTAACAAAAAGCTTTTGTCATGTTAACTTGTGTTGTCGTTTATTTAACTTATTTTGTAATTATTATTTAAATAATTTTTAGTTGTAACAAACTATGAGTGAACTTAAATTTGAAGGTTCACTTAATCCTCTTGATTGCCAGAATAAATTGATACAATATTTAATCCAAAGTTATGACAACAAAACAACATTAAGTAAAAAAAATTATCTTTCATTCTTAGGACAAAATATTAGTTGAAACAACAAAATCTTTGTAACAACTGAAATTCTTAGTTTTAATGAACTCAAAATTTTAAGGCAAACAGGTTACTTACTTTTTAAGTTAAACCAACAAATAATTTTTTACAGTGCAGTTACTAGTCAGGTGGCTATAATTACACAGAAAATTTAGAGGCCACACAGCATTTGATCACTGGATTTAGAAAAATCATTTCAGTTTTAAGAAGTGTTTTCTCAGCATTTCAACATTGCATCAACTGATGAACACACTCATTTTTATTTGAATTATCGCTCAGTGGGTTATTCAAGGCTTTTGTCTTTCAAACACATTAAAATTCACATTGCTTCTTATTTACATTAAATGCAGGGATTCCCAAACTTTTTTGTCATCTTATCCTTTTTCACCTAATATATTTACTTGAAGTAACCTTGAGATTTTAAAGTAAATATTTTTATAATTAAATATCACATTTGCTTGTTCACGGTTCTCTGATGTTGGCTAATGGTCACATGACATGCAGGTAAACAAATAAAATATATATATATTTTTTAGTAAGTGTTTTATTTTGATTCATGTTATTTTAAAATGATTTATTTTAATTTTACATTTTTATGATTTAATTAATTGAATTGCTTTTCATTAAACTCACGAGCCCCCTGCAGTTCCTTGTTTGGGAAACCTTGATAATGTAATGAAATGTTTAATGCACTTCATGCTGTCAATAACTACGAATGGAATATATTGTCTTTTTCTTTGCATTTTTATGTCAATATGGTACAAGATTTTCCCATTTAAATCAATGTGATAAATGACTTAGGTCAAAAGTAGTCTGATTATATTACCTAAAATGTGTAATGTAATGGATTAAGTTACTAACAACAATTTTTGTCATGTAATTTGGAATCAGTAATGAACTACAATTTGTAAGTAATCTGTTTGCTCAGGAGCTGTGGTACTTTTAGGGTAAAACACTACTGCTGCCCATGCGTCTGTAACTTTAACCCAGTATCATGCCAGGTTAGACATTGCATGTTCAGCGTGGGTGAATCAAACATAAAAAGCATAACTTTCTATTGTTCTTCCTCACCCGTTTAACAACTAACAAGCCAACATGTGACATTCACAGCATACCATTCACAGCCTACTAAAACATTTCACATATATGCATCTTCTAATGGTCTACAGTATGTGCATGTTCTGTATTCAAACTGAACAGGGAATGGTAAAGAATAAAGCTTTCAGTGCATTTTCAGGGTCTCAAAATGCAGAAATTTTGTCTGATGGTTAGACTTAGAAGTAAGAGATGCAAAATCAGCTCAGTATAAACAGCATGACCTATAGAAAAAAAGTTGATTGATATTCCTTAATATTTTTAGCGATATATAAACAATTCAATAACATAAATACTAATTGTATTTATTTATTTATTAGATTAATTATATATTATAATACATTTTAAATAAATAATTGGCATTTGGCAATGATAAATACTTGCTAAAGATAATGTGTTGAGATTTGCTTGTCTTTTGACAACTTCGTTTCTGTAGAAAAGGTGTAACTTGTTTGTCTAGCATGCCTGAAGGTAATTTTTTTTTCTTGTTCTTGTTATGACACCAAAACAAAAACATGAAACAAATCAAGTTGTGTCTTCAAATCTTTGTGTCAGGTGCAGTTTCACAGAGATAGAGATGATGGCTCCTTTTGTATCTTTTTTTAAGTTACTTGCACTTTAACATGCATAAAGGAAAACGGCTAAATAACTCAATTTTGTCATGGAGACAAAAGTAAATGTTTTATTTTAACAGTTATATTATAATGTGCAATGAATACTTGTGGCTGGTTAATATTTTTTAATTCTCCCTTAAATTGATGTCTACCGAAGATACACTGATTTGTTGGTGTTTGAATTTACTGTCAAAATGTATTGTCATACATTAGCACTGTCCATGTATACACTGGTTCCTGATGTATTCCTAATGTGCTCATTGTGCTCTAGTGAATGTGGATGGGTTAGGAAGCTCTTTGATTGATCAAAGCACAGATAATGCAATATGTGCAAAAAAAGACAGATCATGAGGAGTGTTTATTTGATATATTCCTCAATTATTGTCTGTTCATAAGTCCATTTTATTAAGAATGACCCTTGAACCTTGTTGTTATTTTCAAAAAATAAATAAATAAAGAAATAAATAAATAAATAAAATAAAAGGTTGAAAAAAAACACTTGAAACTTAATAATAAGCGACTGAAAGTATAAACCAAAACTTAAAAAACTAAGGAAGCCTTCCCTAGAGTAATAAATAAAATATTATGTCATATGTGAGCTTAAAAGAAGACAAATATGCACAATATATCAATAATATATTAAATTATCATTGTTACGTACTAAACGTTTTTGATGGCATGAAAGATTCATTTCTTGTCTTTTTCAGCATTGCACTTTTGTACACATACAAAGATCAAACTTTACAAACTTTTTTATAAACAGAACACACCTTGGAATCTCCTATTATGATGCTGCATAGTTTTATGCTGTTTGAAAAACTGTAAAGCCAGTTTCATTGTCAAACAAATATGTGAACATAAAGACTTGTTAATATCCACTGGAACTATTCCAAAGCAATGACATTTTCATAGTGTCTTTTTGCACTTGATATATTAATGTGCAGTACATTGTTATCAATATTGTGTTTAGAAAGCTATAAGAAATGGAGAGAAACAAACTACATTATTTAAAATATTGATCTAAAGGTAAAACTTCAAAATATGATCAAGTCAAAGAGTTAATTTTTAGTTATTAAGTTCTGAAGCAAATACATAAAACATACATACATGTACATAGGGTCCGTGTACGGTTTGATCATTTCATCTCCTGTTTGGAATGCAATAACGAGAAATGGAAAAATGGCTCGTTTATTCATAGCATAGTCAAAATGTCCTTTATGTAAAGTTCATATAGTTATTTCATGCTGAGAATCAAGTTTGTCCATGTAATATGACAGAATCTTTGTCTGAATATTTTTTTAAAAATTTTGTCATCTCCATTGTATAAGAGTTGTTGGTTTCATTGTGTAGGTGTGACCAGGGCAACTCAGGCTTCAGTGGAAACATCTGGAGAGGTGTGTTTACGTCAGGATCTAGGAGAGATATAAGTTCAGAGTCAGCAGTGAAATCAGAAAGATGAAGATGTTCTGGTCACTAAGTTTGGTCTTTGTGATCACTCTCCTAACCAAAGGTAAATGCCTTCATCTTTATATCATGTTCTTTATCAAATATGTTACTTGCTCCTGACAAAATTAATTAAATAATTAAAGAACCAAGACAAAAACACAATATACCGATTTTTTTTTTTACAAATTTTATTATTTATATTTATTATTACTTTTATGATCTGTCTATATGTATATATGTGCGTATATATATATATATATATATTGACCAGATGCTATCATTTTACTTCAGTTTATTTCATGTGGTGCTTAAAAATACATTAATTGTGCCAATTTCTAAATTATTCTGCAGAAAGATTTTCTCAAATAGGTCTTTTTTATTTTAATGGACATTACAATATTTTTCTTGCAATCCATATCTGAGATTACAAAGATTAGTAGGCAGATAATAGATCATAAGATAATGAGTCTCACATGTAGCTACTACCTCAGCTACTTGATGGATTTGGTGAATATCAGTTGTCTTTTTTCAAATTTGATCTTGTGTCATCTCCTCCAGGGTGTGACTGCCAATCTTTCGGTAAATATTTTTTCATCACATCACAATACTGAGTTACTGAGTAACATCTTAACCTTTTTCTGAGAGTGTCAGTGTAATGATCCTTTCCCTCTCTTGTTAAAAGCATGTGGCAGTGCGCCTCTCAATACAAAAATTGTGGGGGGAACGAATGCGTCTGCCGGCGCTTGGCCATGGCAAGCCAGCCTTCACATGTATGGGAGTCATTTCTGTGGTGGATCACTCATCAACAGTGAGTGGGTTCTGTCAGCAGCTAACTGCTTTCCAAGGTAACCCACATAAACACCTTTAATAACATGTTTCCTTCACCTTGATGAATATTATGATTGTAAACTTGGTCATTGTTCTAGAGAGAGAGAACAGATAGAGGAGGGAGAGTGAGAGGGAGAGGGAAAGAAAGGAGGGGTGAGGCATATTTGGAACATTCTCAAGACAGAGAGTGTTTTCTAACAGTTCTCTTAGTCACAGTCTCAATCCTACATCCTATACCGTGTACCTGGGTCAACAGAGTAAAAAACTAACCAATTCAAACGAGTTGTCCAGAAAAGTCTCTGAAATCATACTTCATCCAGATTACGACAACCTCCCTCATGACAATGACATGGCACTGCTGCATCTCTCCTCACCTGTGAACTTCACTAATTACATCCAACCAGTCTGTCTGGCAGCAGAGGGAAGCACATTCAACAGTGACACAATGTGGGTCACAGGTTGGGGAAATGCTAATTCAGGCGGTAAGAAGCAAGATATTTTTATGCTTGCCACCTGGTGCCAGATGCTTGAAGTCTGATTCGGGGCATGTCTATAAAATATACATCATCTATAGTTTAAGTTTGCTTTTATGGCCAAGTAAAACCATCATATATTTGACCATTTACAGTTCAAACTTTATCTCCATTGGACCGAATATCCTATGGGTAGCATTCTGACAACCCATGTTCAAGTCCTGGATAGTGGTGCTTTCACAATCCCATTCCCCTCTCTCTGTCCACTTCCTGGCAAAAAAAACAAACAACAACTTTATTTCCAAATACTGACAAATACTTACCAATTTGCCAATTTAATTAATTCCTCTTTTGCATAAAGTTAAACAATAGTTGACATTGGAATATCGCGCCATATAAGATGTATTGGCAAGAATGTATTGGCAATGTCCACTCAGCACCACACCAGTGGACACGTATGGTGACAGCGATTAAAACACTGGAGATTGCAAAGCCCTATTGCGCAATTGAAATATTTTTAAATATCAGAAGCATTAAATGAAACCAAATGCATTGTTTAAATCAGTGTTATTTAGTATCACTGAATATTTTTTGTAGCTTTTATTAATAGTTTGAATTAGTTTTTATTTTTAGAAGTTTTAGTAATTTGTAGTAAGTTTTTGTTTTTGAAATATGTCTGTATGGTTTTAATGTATTTTTATCCATTGATTTTATTCAAGACAACATTTTTTTTTTTTAAATGCAGAATTGAAAAGAGTTGGGTTTGGTTAAAGTTGTAACACAAAAGCATATATAATCTCCGAAACATTATTATGAGACTCTTGGTGAGAATCCATGGCAGAGTTATTATAGTCAACTAAAACAAATGTTTATTACTTTAAATAAAATAAAGTTTACTGAAATAATATAAAATTAATTTCATTTTTATTTAGTTCAAATTGAAAATGGAAGTAAAAGCTAAACAGTGTTTAAAAAAAAACTTTTTTTATTCTTTTTCTGGTATAAAGATCAGCATATTACTCAAATCTCTGCCTGTCTTTTGAGCATTAATGATGAGTTTTTCTCATTCACTGTTTCGCAGAACAACAAATCCTACAGGAGGTGGATGTGCCCGTGGTTGGAAACAGTAAGTGTAACTGCCTTTATGAAGAATTAATAACAGACAACATGATGTGCGCTGGACCGTTGGAAGGTGGAAAAGATTCTTGTCAGTATCGACAGTACATTGCTTGTACTATTTAATGCAATAATAACATTTTATACAATTTATATATACTAATATATATATATTCTCTTTTACTGTACAGGGTGACTCTGGAGGTCCAATGGTCATCAAACAGGGCTCTAAATGGATCCAGGCTGGCATTGTGAGTTTCGGTGAAGGTTGTGCTCAGCCTAATTTTCCTGGCGTGTACACCAGAGTGTCTAAGTACCAAAACTGGATCAATCAGCATGTCGGCTTGAATAATACGGGTTTCATCCATTATGCCTCCACTACTCCCGTTCACAATGAGGCCTGTCCTACTCAACGTATGTTTCTTAATATGACCATGACAAAGCAAAATGAAATTGTCCATCATTGAATTGGTCTTACAGCTTGCTTACACTTCCCCTTTAGCTGCCATTTACATTTACCTCTCCTCCTCTCTCGCTTTTCTCTCCAGCGCCATTGTGTGAAGGTTCTGCAGGTTTATGGCCATGGATGGCTAGTGTAACTTATAACAATTATTCGATGTGTGTAGGAACTTTGGTCTCTGACCAATTCGTCATGACCTCTGCTAGCTGCTTTGCCAGGTAATCATTTTAGGAAAACTTCATTTTATATGAAATCAGTTACCTAAAAACTGATAACTTGTGCCCTCACATTCAACATCTAATTTTTCAGATTCATGGGTACGAATGGATGGGCAGTCGTCCTCAACGTTGTCCAATGGGGATGCTCCAGCATGCCAGTGGAAGTTAATGTGACAAATGTCTTTTTCAATGATATTTTTGGCAACGGTGTAGCACTCCTGCAATTGTCTCATCCATTTAATCAAGTTGGCGATTTACCGGTTGACATGTATAGTCCAAGCTTTGGCCCTGGTACTCAATGTTCAGTAATTGGTTGGAGCCCAGCAGAAGTTATGTGTGAGTTTATATAATCACTTATTCAGACTTTCTTTGTCAATACATTCAATGACATCTTAAGTTTGTTTCTTTCTAATCTGTTTTTCTTTCCTCTTAAGTAAACCTACCTTTTCAGGAATTCCAGACCACCATTGTAAACTGCGATCCATCAGACACCACAGAGATCAACATCTGCACAGAGGGTTTGAACTTTCAGCAGGTATTTGCAGAGTCCTTTTCAGTCCTTCAGGCTTGTCGTTTGATTTCTCAGACTGAAACAGATTTGAGTTACTGCGTACAATTATAATGCTTCCTAGAAATGTACCACTGTATGTTTAGTATGACGTTTGTCTCATTCAGGACGATAACGGCAGTCCTCTGCTGTGTAAAATGGGCGAGATGTGGGTTCAGACTGGTATTCTGTCCATTCCCCCTGGCAGTGAGATCAGCCCATACTCCAACAGCACTTCATCCACAACAGTCTTCATCCAGACCTCTCCCTTCTCCTTCTTCCTGACTAACACTATCTACAATGTCCCATCTATTCTGGATGGGGCAGAGTCATTCTCGCCCCTCTCTCTCACCTACATCCTTCTGCTCTCTCTCCCAGCACTCCTCCAGGCCTTTTACTGAAGCAGCCATCTGTCACTTTATCAAAGAATAAACATATGCAGTACATTATATGGGACATTATAGTCTATTTGCTCTTGTATTAGATATATAGCTATATACATTTTTAATTTTATAAATAAAGTAAGTAAAGTGGAATCTTAAAACTTTGTATATTCCAAATAAAAAAAAAGTTTTGTTTCTCAATTTCTGTAACTCACACTCTCTGGTAAATGAACTCCAGAGTGTATTACACCTAAAATTATACAATTTAGATAAATTTGTGCTTATGTAAATCTGTCAGCACTGCTTTAAGTATGGGTGTCTAAGAAGTCAATGTATCGTCCATAATAAAGCTGTTCATTGTCCTGAAACCTGAAGAGTATTATCCATTTTTGAGCCATGGGTTCCCTCGGGAATTTCCTATGGGTTTTGAGAGATTAATGAGTACTGTAAGGTCTGTGGCTAACATGAAAATAAATTATTTTGTTAATAAATTATTAATTATTATTTTATTAATTAATGATGAATTATTTTATTAATACATTACAGTCATACCTTAACTGTGAATTTTGGAGCCACTTATTTTTATACAGTATACTTATAAACTCTGAATTTCTAGGCTCTCATGAATATTAGTAAATCCCAATAAGATATTTTCAAATATTAGTGCAAAAAAAATAAATCAGTGCAGTGATTACTTAAAGACACTGAGAGTAATAAACTAAATTATTCAAAATATACACATAAAAATAAAGCTTCTAGTTAAAACCAGAACACAAAAGAACCTTTATAAGTTCAGAATGAACTTTTTAAAACCTTCTACTATCTAGAAACGGTGGTACCAAGGTGGACCCAGGTTGTGGTACATGTCTCTTCTTGCTGTGAAATCTATAATGATTTTTATAAACTAACATAAGAATCATTTTTATATTGTTAGTAATATTTCAAAATGAATACTTATGGGACTGAAGCAACATAGTTTACTTGATTATCCATACATCATTTTTTTTTTAGAAATCATTTGAGTATGTTGATACAGGCATTTGAGGAATGTTTATCTGTTCATCTCTCAATCATCATTGTATTGCATAACATTATTTGAGTAGTCCATATGTGGGACTAAACGTCAACTTTTTGATTGATGATGACCTCATGACCTTTCGTGACCTCATCAGACTGATCAATTTTGAAGAGTGATGGGTCATAAATGAACTTTTAGGTGTATTTTTTAACTCTCACATCCGGTGGCATCTGCTGACCACATGTGGGGTATTCGGCTGCATTCCATCACAGGATGTGCTATGGTCTCTCCCCCTTCTCTCTCTCTCTATGGGGATGTGAGAAAGATATTGGTTGATTTTCAGGACAATATCAAAAATAAGTAAAACAATACTCAGAGACCAAAGCATATTGTGGGCCTCGCCATGTTCTCGCTCTCTCACACACACACACACACACACACACACATACATATTCAAACGTCCGAGTAAAAGGGTCTTATTCTCTTCTTTTAAATGCAATGAGTACAAATAAATTATGGGATTACCAAAGACTGTAGAATACCCAAGACGTGTCTACTATAGTTTTGAATGGGGGAAAATGCAACGCTTAACATGGCCGCTCAATCGCAGGAAGCCCCGCCTTCTGAATGTAATGCTGCGTTCCAGGCAGGTTTTTGAACCCGTAAGTCACGACTTCAAACCACGACTCACGACTTCGTAGCGTTCCAGGCAAGTCACACCAAACTGCCTGAGCGCAAGGAATTGTGGTAGCTAGATGTTAACAAACTTCTAGAATTAAACAGATTATTTTGTTATACAAGTATGTAATTTGCACTACCCCCTGTATAGGCTCTGTGCACAGCTGCAGTCTTGACAGAAAGGGGCTGCCATTGTTGTTTCGCGGGCTATGTGACGTCAGAGCGCGGAACTGGGAGTACATCGATCTAGTACGAGTTCACAGGTGGGAAGTCACGGGTTTGACTGCCATTCCAGTGCACTTTCACGTGTAGAAGTTTGGAAAAACACGGGTTACGGGTTGCCTGGAACGCGGCATAAGAGCCCGTCGCTAATCAGTAAAGTCAGCGCATCACTGCAGCTGCCGTTAGAAGCGTCCCGGTTGCTATAGAAACAGTCAGCGTTCTGAGACGTGCGCTTAGGACTGCGCATGCGCACTGGCTAATCTAGCCTGAAAAAATACGCTTTTTATAACGCTATTTGAGCAAAAGAAACTAGATTTATGACACAGTTGTTGTCAGATTTCATTGGTGATTTCAAATATGAAATTTAATCGTAAGCTTATTGAACAGTTTGGGAGAATTTAATGTTTCCCCATACAAAGTGATAGGAGCTGCACTTGCATGTCCAAGAGGCGTTTCAAAGATGGCCGCCGAGTGACATGACTTGCCTTAAAGGGACTTTGGGATTACACATGATATAAAGCAAAGCAAAACATTTACACAAGTTTTAGGCGTCACTAAAAATATAAAAACGTCTTACGTTTTTCCAGGAGTGGGAAAAAGACTTTGTCATGTAAGAAAAATTTATTGATCGAATGTAATGAGGAACCAGCAACATCAAAATAAGTAAAGGGAAAAAATATTTTAACAGGCCAAAAGATAAGGGATATTTTGGACCCTAACATGTCCGGACATGTCAAATTTCCATGTTTTATGGAGGTTTTCCATAGACATAATTCAATTCAATTCACATTTATTTGTATGGCACTTTTCACGACACAAATTGTTGCAAAGCAGCTTCACAGAAAATTAAAGTTTCTACATTATATGTAGAAACTTTTACATTTATATTTACATTATATTAATGAATTTTATATTGTATCATCCCCTAAACCTACCCATCACAGTAAACTTTCTGCATTTTTATATTTTCAAAAACATCATTTAGTATAATTTATAATTTAAAAATCTGTTATGATCATGGGGACAAATTTTGCTCAGGCCAATCATTTAATGTATTACTACACAACAAGGAACCCCCCCCCCACACACACTCACACACACATTCAAAAAAGAAGTGGACGACTTGTCCGAAGAATCCTCCGTGACCTGTTTAAATGAAGATGAATGGATGGAGTAGAACGTCCTTAAATGTGATGTTTGCTTGCTTAATGACGGTGTTTGTTCCCGTTGTCTGTGATTGAATGTATTCATTAGGCTTGATGCGCCCACAGACGTCTCTAGCAGCAAAACACAAAGGCCTTTGACCATCTTTGCTGCACGTTAATGGAATCCGATCTACATTAAAGGTCGAGAAACCGAGAACAGCATCAAACTTTATGTAATGGAATCGCTTTAGGCTCCGGTTTCCTTGCTCAGTGCCCTTTGCTTGTATTCATTAATGCTATAAATGAAAAAATACAACATTAGGGGAGAGAAGTGTTCAATTTAGAACAACATGAAAGATAATGAAGAATTATCTGAGCAACCGCACCATTGCGAGGCATGGATTAGTTTGATTTACTTTTATATTTCATTCAACCAAATGAGCTTACATAATAAGCTATATTTCCCCACTGTTGCTGAGTACAGACCTTGCACAAAATACTCTGTTTATACAAAGTAACTAAATGATAAAATGCAAACCACAGCACCACTGCAACTGTCTGAGTGTAGAAACATAGTTCCATAGCTGGATAATATATACAAACAAATCAAGAAATACTTGATATGTCTCTATTTATTATTCTTATGTTTTCAGCCATGGAACTCTGATGATGATGATGATAGTGTTTACCTTCACACCACAGTATATTATAACATAATCATGAGAAGTAAGAGTTTTGGTTTGGATAAATTGGCTTGTCAAATCAAGGTCTTCTCAACAAAGGCCACTCTTAAGGATTTTTCAGTGTGGTGGCTGCAGCTGAAATTTGCTGTTGTAACACAATGTCCAAGGATGTCTTCGGTTAACATGGAATATATACTTTTTTAGAAGACATGTCTATATAGTAAAAAAATGAACTCAAACATAACCAAAAGGGTAGTATGATCTGCATAAACATCTAATCTAAGGCCTAATTCATACAATTTAATTCAATTCAATTCAATTCAACGCTTATTTGTATAGCACTTTTCACGATACAAATCATTGCAAAGCAGCTTCACAGAAAATTTAAGTTTCTACATTATATTAAGAAACTTTTATATGTATATTTACATTATATTAATGAATTTTATATTGTATCATCCCCTAAACCTACCCATCACAGTAAACTTTCTGCATTTTTATATTTTCAAAAACATCATTTAGTATAATTTATAATTTAAAAATCTGTTATGATCATGGGGACAAATTTTGCTCAGGCCAATCATTTAATGTATTACTACACAACAAGGAACCCCCCCCCCACACACACACACACACACACACATGTTAGTTTTTATGTTTTCTGGGGACACTCCATAGGTGTAATGATATTTTATTTACAGTACTAACTGTACACCGATCCATCAAACAAAACTTTCTGCATATTTACATTTTTAATAAAACATTGTTTAGTATGCTTGTAAGTATTTTAATTATGAGGACTCAAGAAATATACTCATAACCCACATTTACGTAGTTATATCAGTGTAATACCCATGTCATTATACAAATTTGTGTCCTGATAAATCATATAAACAAGCACACACATACATAAACATTTCAAGCTAAAAAGAGACTTTTCTCTATTTTAAAGTATATGGCAATAAATAAAATATATAATTATATATGACTGCATAATAAACATGTAACTAAAGCAAAGCAAATAATTTATCATACATTTTAAACATTTATTTAAGATTATTGAACTTATAAAACACATCATTCTCTTCTTTTAAAGAAGATGGTAGAAAAAAGAAAATGTGATTATATATATATATATATAACATGCTGTATAAAAATACAAATTTACTATAGTTTTAAGTGACAATAAAAATATAAAAATGCTTTACATTTTTCTGGGAGCAATGATGTCCATTCCGTGAATGTAAGGTTTACAAAAACAATTATTATTATTATGTTGAAATATAAACAAAACCCCCAGGTCCTCCCTGTTATGGAAGGAGACTCACACAGAGGATTAGAAAACACAAGGGTAGTTTATTTTCA